CTCACCAGCAGGTGGCGACATCGAGCGGGCCACCCCTCAAGGCTCCGCCGCCAAACCTACCGCTGAGCTCCAAAGGTTAAGAATCTGATTGATATATTTTGACCAAAAGGTAACTCAGATATTAAGAACTTTTTCTTTTAAATGCATTTTAGCATAAAGCAAAGTAAAGGTGAGAGTGTAGGATGGGGGATATCACCCGAAGGCTACTCGTCACCGTCGTCCATGGTACGCAAACACACACTGACGTGATTCGGTTCCTGTCCAGCGCGAGCTGGGAACGTCGACCGTGAGCCACACGCTCCGCAGATCCCGCTGCCTGGATCGTCCTCAGCGTCTCTCTTTCAGACATGTGGTCGTCTGTGGGAAACGGCATTTCAAATCCACCTTAATTACACAGCAACAACACAATTAGCGTCATCCCATTAAGGGAAGCGGGCCAATGACAGCGGTGGTCTGTTCCCCAAAATGTCAGCATTCCTTACAGATGGAAACTGTAGATTTGAGGCCTGGTAAAGCGGAGCATTAAGAACAGAACCCCCCCCCCCCCCCACCCCACCCCCAACACCACAAGGTTTGGCCCTACAGGGAGGAGAAGAGGGGGGGTCTCTCTGATTCTCTGTGGGATGGGTCAGCAGAGGGGCTGAGGACTGACTGCAGATCAGTTTTGAGAATCTATTATAGGTTTCATTTTGCAGTGATGACGCTTCCTGGTATCTCCAGCAGGGGGCATGCTGGTGAATCGCACTCACGTTTGTGAGACGAGCTCCACATTAACATGTGACTTGCAGAAACTCAGACGTTATCCTTTCAAATCTCTGCGAGGGCAAAGGCCACCAAGGCTAATAAAAGGTGATGAATTAAGGGACGCCACGCAGGCACACACACGTGCACACGCACACTCACACGCAATTCATTTGTTCTCTGTGGTAATGCAATCCTGTCCGGCGTGCACGCTTCATAAATCTGATGTAATGGAAAATGGTATTTATGTATTTCTAAAGGGAGGAACGAATGTAGGAGCAAACGGGGGTGAGTGCAATCCTGGGAGGGGGGGGCGGGGGTTGTTTTTGGGGGGGCCGAGGGGGTGGGGGGTTCCATCGAAGACAAGCATGCCACACTGTGCTATGTCCTTGAAGGACAGAATGCTGGCATCTATTTGTTTACATATCTACATGCTTGTTTGTGTTTATGTGTTTATTTCAGGTTTGTTCACCTGAAGTTCTGTCTATACACTGGCACGCCTTTCCACACACAGCCACAGCCTCTCAAATCACACTGCGGTTCCATTAGACCTAACCTGTTTGGACAGAAAGTTTTCATTATTAATGAGCCTATGAAGACTGGGACTTTACTGTGGAATTAAATCCCAGTTATGTTTTCATTTCACGGTCTTTTATTGAGACCCATAATAAAATGTGTCTTTTTGTTAGGAAGGGCACAAGGACCCAGGGGTGCATTGGTGTTGAGCTTACCCCCACACACACACACACACACACACACACACACATAACCAACATCTGCATATCCCTGCTACACTCAGCTCTCTCTCCAAATGGGCATGAAGATGACCAGCTGAATTGCTTCCCTTAATCATCTGATCCAGAGTTTGGCATTTCAGGTGGGATCAGTCCCTTTGCCTCCTGCCCCCTCAGATGAACTAAGCTCCTGTCTTCCTCCATCAATCACCTTACCAAGCCCCACCCCTACATCCCAGCTTCTCCCCTCATCAATCAATCACCATCGCAAGCTCCACCTCCACACCTCAGCTTCTTTGTCCATCAATCAATCAATCAATCCCCACCACTAACTCCGCCCCATTGATTAGTCGCTACAAAAATGCTTTTATTACAGGGCTTGGCAACAATGAAAAGGGACCCATTAAACAGCCTGTGTTTTAATGCCACTCACAGTTGGGCAATGAGTTACCTCTAATCACAGCCAATCAGTCTCCCGTATTTCTGGCTGTCCCACCCCCAGGCTTTCACTGCCCACCCGTCATGGAGAGGTCTCTGCGCTCCTGTTCGTGGCTAATTATGATCTGCAGCATGAGCGAGGAATTCTGGGTAATAGCAGCACAGTTCACAATGTAGGTTACATAAGGAAAAAGGCCAGTCACGAATCGCCACCCAATATTAATGCTTTATTTTCAGTCCCGAAACTCATTTTTTAATTGGGTGCAGAGCCCAGCGCCCCCCTTCCCCCCCCCCCAAGTCCTCTGCAGCTTCTCCAATGAGGAGAGCCGGAAGAAAGTGACGCTGTTATTATGCATTTATTATTGTGCTGATTTATTTGCCTGAGCGGAGCAGGTCGCCGCCATAAACACTTAAAGATATTAAATAAGCCTGATGGCGTTTAGAGGAGGGGGTGCAGAGCAGCGGTCGCACTCCTAAATCAGCATGGTGCTCCAGCTCTGGAGCACAGAACCGTCCCAGGAAGATGGTCAGATGGTCATGGGTTCTCAGCCCGTTGGGGTGCTATGACATCACACCATCACTCCGGAGGGTCAGCAGCCCACAGCTCCTGCCTGCTGTTCTGCTCCTTGCTTCACACCTGTGTCTTGCACACTGTCTCTTTCAGCCCCCCCTCCATGCACTCCATTTTCTCCGG